GGATGGATTGGATGAACGGGTTGGAAAGAACGATTGGTACCTTGCATGAAACGGGTGGCGGCTAGTGTTGGCGTGAACGGCTATCGAAAAGTTCAGCTCACATGTTAATCGCAGTGGGTGTTGAGGTACGAGGTGGGATGCTTGCCTACCCCGCGATTCATGCTGAGATGGGATATCTTTGTTGGAATGTAGATCTACATTTATCAAGCAGACGAATAATTAGACAATACTCACGCATTCCCTACAATTCATGCAGCTCACAAACATACATCGATCTTGGGGCCAAAAGCATGCCTCCTCCAGAGTCCACACTACATCAAATGCGGCAAGTGCTATCGTGGCCCATTTCTCCGCTGCCCTGCCTGATTTAAAAATCTAGAGCGTCCCTCGGACCATGATTCGCCGGGAGCGGGTAGCTTTTATCCAGGTACGTGGGTTTTCTGGCATGATGACGGCTAGATTAATCATTTGCCAGCTGGCAGTCACTTTTTTTTCTTGGTTGCTTATTTGCGGCGCGGAGGGATTCCGGAAACGTTGTGGGGTGGAAGGATTCAGGAGTGCATGGTCAGGCTGCATGATTGATGGAATGGAGCTCGAGGACGGGTGCTAGTATGTTGTAGATGGTAGCTGGTAGATGATTTACGCTTGCTCAGGAGGTTGATGGAGAAGGGCTGCGCTGGTTGGTGGGCCAAATCAACGGATTAGCGTCGGCATCTAGGCATTGACCTCGTTGACCTGTCATTTCTACCCATCTCATCCTTACGGCACGCATCACCCAAGCCATGGTGTCGTTCGTTCCGTGTCCGTTCGCGACTTAGCTCATCGTTATGTTTGGCCCCATTCGCTGCTAGGCGCATGGCTGCGGTTGGGTGAAGCGTCGGCTTCCTTCGCCTGGCTGTGCGTGCTGGCTGGCTGGCTGCGGCGACGACAAAGAGCCTCTCTTCCATGCTTCCTCCCTGCCACGCCCACCCAATTATGACAGCCTCGCTATATCGCCCTCGCCGGCCCATGCACCTGCGGGCTCGGTACCTGAGCTAGACGCCTCCTAGCCCTCAGGAGACTTGGCCTAAGCCGCATTCCGGGTGCTGCTCAGGCGGTGCTGCCAGTGTGTTGCGGAGTGCTTGCTGCTGCTGCTGCCAGCTGCGGGTCACGATCGGGACTATCAATTCTTCATCTTTGCCGAACTACAACCTTTGCAACTGCAGCTTCAGCTTCCCCGGCCCCACCAGCTGCCTAGTACGTGAGAAACCTTCGCCGTGCCTGGTCACCCAAAGCAAGCAACAGGTGCCTCTTCACAACCACCACGCTGTGCTGACGCCCTCGCTCGGTACCTGCTTCGACGACGTCTCACAACGCTGTCACATCCCCTGCTGCTGCTCTAGTGTACTACCCAACAGGTCTCACAGCTTCGCGTCTAGCTGTCTGCGTTTGCGAGAACATCCCGCCGTCAACAAAGAAATCCATCCAGGGCGCCTTTGTCTTCACCACCCGTCGACCCAACCCCGCCGAACGCCTCCCTCGACTCGTGGACGATCCTCGACGTCTTATATTACTGCTACATGGTCGGGAAGGAAGGACATTGTGTCAGGGCTTCGTGTCATTGGGCTCGCTATGAGTTTGGATCAGCACATATATGGGTACGGCTCTCTTCTACCTTCCCATGTGGCGGAAGACGTGTAGCGTTCGGCTGGTGCAACGAGCTTCATCTGCATACCTCCGGCCGTCCTTGGCTTCATGTCATGTCGGACCAGACTATGTCCCAATCCAGGTCTAGGGTAGGCAGAGGTCAGGCAGCACCGCACGGTTGTCACTTGGAGCTCGTTGCCATCATCCCTTGCCATGCTATCCCAAGAATACCTTTCTTTAGACTTCTTCCGCTCCTTCCCGTTCTGTTGATAGATTTCACTTTTGGTTTTCCTCATGTCTCGGCTCGCATCTGCAAGTGCCCCAGGCTAACGTGGGTCGCGTGCTAGATCGACGGACTGGCATCTCCCAAGTCCCTCCTCCACTCCCAAGTCGCTGACGTTCCCTGACGGATCTCTCAAAACACCAAAGACCGAGTCGTTTCCCCACTCGCACTTCCTCGACGCCTGGGCCACCCCACGACCTAATGGGCAGCACACCCCGGTGCAGACTCCTTCCTTCACACTCTCGACGCCCATAGGCCGGCCGTCGAGCTCGTACAGCCAACCCGTCCGCACCCCCGAAGACCCAGAGTTCCATGTCAACCACTTCGCACCGCAAAACCTACCTCTTCCGCCGGTCGACGTGTCCCGAAGGCTCTCGTCCTCGCCGGGCCCTAATCAGCTGAGGAAGGTTGGATCACAGGGACAGTTCGGCTCTCGTCCTGTCAGCATGGACTTCTCGCAGATGCAAACGCCACCTCCAACGAGGGACGCCTCGTCTAGAAGGGGTGTGCAACAAAGTGGACATGGAGTGGCAACACCAGCTACGGTGGTGCACAGGACGCCCAGCCAACTGCCGGAATCCTCAGGAGCTCTGTTTGATCAGACACCGTTTGGCTTCGCTGATCTGCAGTACACTCCACATATGATGCAGTTCCCCAGCGGTGGTCCAATGTCTGCGCCACCTATGCCTCAGTCGAAGCTGTTCTGGGACCCAGCGCATGATGGCATGCAGATGGATCTAGATGTGCCTCTGGGTGTAGACCCCTTCGGTCCTACCCCGCATAGACCGCAGCACGACATGAACTGGCAAGCGATGAACCATCCTTTGGCTAACATGATGCAAACCCCAGTGTTCCAGGGCTTCCAAGCTTCTCCCATGCCAGCGTCGTTCGCGAATACACCCTCGCAGCAGAGACACGGCTCGAGAAATGGCTCTTTTGTATATACAGCTGCAGGTGTCGATCCCAACATGCTGCTCAGCTTCTCCAACCCCGATATGACTGGTTCTTTTGGAAGCATGCCGCAGCAGCCAATGCTCGACATGTCAAGACAACCTTATGAGACGCAACTGCGCGATGCAGAAAATGAGAGGGCAATGGCGAAGAAGGCTAAGAGTCAGCATTCACGCAGCAACACAGCTTCGTCGTCGGGTTCAGCGGAAAACGCGAGACCTGTGCTGCAACGGAGCAACACCGACAGTGGGCCGAGAATAACCAGAGTAATGGACCCTCGGATAGCAATCCCAGCTAATGCTTCGACGATTCCCCGTCGCTCATCGCCACTGAAGCGTCAAAGTGGCGGATCACTGAAAGCGATACCTGAGATTAGAAGACCCCGTACACGGCTGATCATCGACGAGAGTGGTACGGCTCGCACAGAGACGATACCTTCTGGAGATGATGAGACTCCCAGGAACAGACGGCAGACTTCGCAGCAAGATCTTCGACGCCAATACCCCGGACTGTACGAGGAGCAAGACAGCGAGTCGGACGACGATGAGCCAGCTCCAATCGTCAGCCGCAACCCATCCTTCGTCATACCCCAACCCGAACGTCGAGCGACGAAACACGCCCGAGCAGACAGCGGCGGACTGGAACGAGCCAACTCCTTCAAAATGGCGCGCTCCGTCTCCGCCTCCCGACTCGCATCCGACGCCCTCTCCAAGTCCTCTTTCGAAACGCTACGATCAACCCGCCGCTCCGCCGCTGCCGCCGCCGAGAACACCATCCGTCGCTCCAGCGCCATGGAGCGCCCCAGCCTCCGCGAACGAGACCCCGAAGACATACACATGCCCGACTCCCCCGGTGACGCACTCGGCGCCTTGAAGAAAGTCGTCGGCGCCCGCCAACAACGCATCGGTACGCTAGCATAACCTGTCGCTTCCACTTCCTTCGACTGACAAGTTCAGAACGCGCATCGCAAAACACACTGCTCGCGCATAATCAACGGTGGGCGCAGGCCTCGGCTGATATGTCCACCCACCCCCCTCCATCACACAACCAACTTCGCCAAGCCCTGTCGCACGGCGCCTACGACCCCTACTCTAATTCCTTCAACGGCTCGCCGACGACTACTACAACGCCCTCGACGGAATGCAGTAGTAAGAGTAATGATAGCACGAGGTGCGTGTGCGATGGGTTGGTCGATGATGCCGATACGTTGATGGTGCAGTGTGAAGCTTGCTTCAAGTGGTTGCACATGGGCTGTGTGGGGTTGAAGGAGGAGTGGTTACCTAGGGTGTTTGTTTGCGTGTTCTGTAAAAGTGGGAAGGGGGAGAGTCCGTTGAAGGGGAAGAGGGGTGGGAGACGGTGATGGTGCTGTGGGTTGGGATGTATAATGTACCGTGTGTTGTATTGGACGGGAGAGCAGTGTTGAAGTGGAAGGAGCTTGCTGTGCGAGCTTTGAGACAGGCGTGGCATGAGTAATGAATGGCAATTTACGAGATGATGTTTGGATGGTTGTACAATTTCGGTGTTTGGTACCTAGGGCTTGAATGGAGGTTTCTGGGGTGGAGATGTGGTTGATGGGGGAGAGTAATGAACATAAGATTACATCGGGTATGACTGCTACTTCACGTTCATACCACGCGTACTTCGACTCCATGGAGGGGTGAGGTACTGATAAGACAGCGAGTCGTGATCGTTGTGGACTTGGTAGGTAGGGCAGGATGAGACATCACACACGCATGATAGTTCAAGATGTGGTGCACTAGGGGCTGAGGACTGCATATACGTTTGTACAAGAAGGGTATTAACTAATACAAGACTAGGAAAGATACGTGGTGTACACAAGATAAGTTCGATCGGGGGTCGAAATTAGGACATTGGTTGCTTGCAGCGACGGTTGCTATAAGGCTTTCTGCTAATCTATAACCTGCTAGCCCTGCAAGTTGATGCAATAGTCCTCAGCCTCGAACAGACTCAGCTTCCTGAACAGTGCCCTTCCTATCTGTACGTAACTTCCATGCCCAGCCTGCCCGCCCGTTTGATGTAGCTCATTGCTGTCGAAACACAGCGTCACTGACGTTGCGGTTGTTTTGTGCGTCGATTGCGTTCATAACCTGCTTGAACACAAAGAACCGGATCTCTTCGATCAACTTCTCGCGGTCATGTCCTTGGCGACGATTGAGTGGTTGTCGATGAAGGTCTGGAAGAGCGGGGCTGCGTAACTGACACAGATGACGACAGTGATGGCCTGGATGATGAGCATGATGATGGCTCTGGTGCTTTGCCAGCGTACGTGCGCCGCCGCTTGGCCTGCTTCGTCCATGCGAGACTGCACTTCTTCGCTGCGTACACCAGTGGCCGGAGTAGTCCAGTCTGGAGGGGAAGGCTTGAACAGGTTGGTGATATCAGTCCAGGTTGACGTGGATGAAGCGGTAGGATTTGCCGGTGCCGGTGCCGGTGAGGTGACTGGTGAATTGGGCGTTGTGCTTATTTTCTCTTCGATCTCGTAAGTGGTGGGGGGGTTGACTGAGAAGCCCATGGTGTTTGTGTTTCGTGCCTTCGTGACGGTGTAGAGAGAATTTGATGGCGGTGGTGAAGAAGAAACAAGAGTGAGAAGGGGAACGGCCTCCTCTTCATCGTACATGATGGCTACGTCAGCACCTGGTGCGTGTTTGTGAGACGAGATGCGATGGGCAGGAGTGTGCGAGGTGGAAATCTAGGAAGGGCAAGCGCACCGGGGTTTTACAGAGCAAGTGCGAGGCCTTGCTAAGACAGCAACTATGGTTGGCACTGCCACACTACCCACTCAAAAATGCGCATATTACTATGAAATAACCGTGCATTTGAAAGGGTTGGGGTCGGGTTTTCGTTCAGCCGCAAAGAGGCACGGCATATGAAAAGATTGATTTGAAGAAACCGTGCCAAACCATCTGTCGCTGGAGAACTCAACCTGAGGCATCGTTAGTTTTGGAAGAGGGAGTGAACGTTCTCCGTACGGCGTCTGCGCGTCGCTCCTCTTCATATTCATCCCTCTACTTAGCTACAAAGACCCTCTTAGCATCCTTTCCCCCGCGATGGTTACGCGACTAATCTGGACGAAGAGACCAATGTACAGGATTTCAGTACACGCTTCGCAATCCTCTTACTGTTCCACAAAGTCGTCGAAGATGGAGGAAAAGACTGGAAGGTGACGATTTGGAGAATTTATTAGCAAATATACAGCTCTTGATCTCAGCAACCTACCTAGGTAGAGACTGTGCTAGAATCTTTTGCGCGTCCATGTCGTGACAAGGGGAAGTTGACGATGTTCCTCTCCTATGCGCGGCGTTCGTAGGAAGGGGGGTACGATAGTCGCCTTGTGCCTTCCAAGCTCTTGTGTTGCGGATATCTCTCATCCGAGAGGGCCTGATTGGATGGGTACAAGTGAATTGCGAAAGTGGCGAGTCCCGTCGCGATGGGCCATTTGTACCTTCCGAAACAACAGCGAGAAGCCGACATTCTTCACTCCCTGGATGGACGTTACGCTCCTCCAGGCGAAGTTTATTGGTTGTAGTAATGCACAAGCAAAGACGCCTCATAGGCTCCTCTGCCGATGTGTGGCTGAACCAAAATCCGACCCCAACTTTGGTCCACCCAAGCCACTCTCGCTACCTATCTACGCGGAACTACGCCCATGCAGTGCGCTTCACAGCCCCTATGAAGTACTGGACACTCCGCCACATCCACGGTTCTCATGTCTCGTGTGATGAGAACCTCGTACGTAGTAAAAGCCTGGTTATTAGTTGAGAGGCTCTACTACGTGGATGTGCGGAAATTAGGTAGGTAGTGTGGGCGGTCAACCAAGGTTACCATTGTGGCAGGGCATCGAGTTTACTCTTTAAATTTAGTCGCGCTCCTACGTATTTCCTTCGTCTATCTACTTTTACCCATCATACATCATCCTCCAGTGTATACCAGGTACAGACATGACTATTATGTACGATACAAAAGAGACTATTCCGCTTCTCCCTCTTGTGTCTTCTTCACCACGGCCAACCACTCCTTGCTCCACGGCCAGTGACAAGCAAGACGAGCAAAGCAACATGAGCACTCCGACCAACCCACCGTCAAGGCCATCCCCTCTCCCAACGTCGGAATGGACCCAGTTCGTCAGGTCTTCGAGAGATGACACTCCCCCTCGCTGGGCCACCCCAGCCACTGGTGTACGCAGCGCCGCTCATCAGATGATCCTTGATGAGAACGACCAGAGGAACCGGGCAGCCAACGCAAAACATGCATGGGATTTCGCGGTATTGGTGGTCAAGACTATTGCCGTCCTCATCATATACTTCCACTTCATATCGCATGTCAAGGGCTCGGTAAGTCTTAGCACAAGGATACCGTTTAGCAGAATTATGCTAATGATCTCATTTTTGCAGGCCAAGGACACCACTGCCATCCGCCAGTCCGCCCCCGTCCTCGACTACGATACTATTCGCGAGTCTCTATATGCCGACCTGCGTAAGGCCGTGTTCGAAGATGTTAAAGAAATGGTCATTGCAGCCAAGTTTATTGTCCGCAAAGAATAGATATGAGACAAGGCGGGTGATGGCGCAGATGGCAGAGAACGCACATTGGGCTGAGGAGGATGTGAGGAGGCGGCCGGTAGGCAGATGGCAAGCATGTAGTGGCAATGAGAATACAATTGCTCTAATCTTCGTCCGATGAGCAGGCTTGCCAGTAATGTGAGGATTACGATGCTCATTCGTTTCAAATAAACCAGAGGCATGCGAGGCGGCGTCGATAATGATAGTGAAAAAGCGAAGTGCATGATCATCGAGGCCATGCTGACGCTGTGTCATTGTGGTGTGAGAACACGGCTATGGGGAATGATGTTGGGGGGATTGGCTGAATGCGAACTCCGTGAAAACTTTATTATGGCATGTGGAAGCGATCATGACTCTGAGGTACCATCGCGTTGCAGCAAACATAACACCAGATGTGTAGGGCAAAGATGTGCGAGACAGCCGAACGTTGGAGAGTGAGGCTGCTGGCCCGAGCCTTGCATTCAAAAACGGCGAGTTGATGAATGACGTATCGTTCATGTGTATAGGAGGCCAGACCAGGTCAATTATCGGTTTGCGCAACGACCCAATTGACGAACTGTAGCTCGGTTACGAAGGCTGTCCCATTGTCTTCACGCTGGCGATGGCCAGTAGGTGTCAAGATAACCTGTATGCTGAACGAAACCCTGTCCTTCCGAGGTCTCAAGACCAACTATTACTCGCATCGTCCCACCACTAGTTCTTGTGCGGTAATCTACTGAGTGTGTTTTGTACTTGGTGTCGGCGGCGTATGTGATATAGTGTATGAGGACCACCTTTGACGCCGGGATTGTCTTCGAGCCCCCGGATTCTCGCTCAATCGAGCCACGATCGCGTCATACTCGCGGTTAAGTAATGCGATCTGTTCGTCCGTCAAGGTAGACCAAAACTATGTAGGGCATTAGCATACTTAGTTTCTTTGCAAAAAGTATAACCATATATCAAACATACCTGTTCAGTTCCTGGTGCGGCGTCGATTGCAGGCGTGGTCTTGATTACTGCCTTGGCTTCTGGCGCGAGAACACAGCGTACGTCTGAGACCATTCCTGCTATCAGGTATACCATGAGAGCGAGGAAGAGTAGTTTGGTAAAATGAGACGCCATTCTCAGTATTCTCATAGCGCGTTCGTGGTCGTCCTTCGCGCGCTGAAGTTCTAGTCGAAAATGCTCCCTCTGGCACTGGAGGTCAAACTGGAACTGCTCTTCAGCCGTTCGAGTTTGAGGGGTTGGAACAAGCCATGATGAATTCGGTGTTGATGAAGTGTTCGGTACGTAAAAGGGGAGCTGTTCGTCGTACATGACTGTGTATTCGTGAGCTATAGCTTTCGGTGTTGAAGTTGCAGAAGTGGGAATGTATAGCTAAAGTCGCAGAGGACTGCCTGATTTTGTATACGAAGTGCGATAGCTGCGCCACAGGTGAGCCGTGGTAGATTGTGGTTCCGCTACCAGATGGTTAGTACTGTTATAACACCGATCACCTGGGCACCGCCATTCGATGGAGCGAAGTCCGACTACCGGACTAGAGCTCGCCCTGCTATGCTGCCTGCCTAAATGGCACAATTCGGCGATTTTTAAAATACGTTCGTGATGATTACACACAAGTTTTTGCGTTCGTTGATGCAGGATATCGCTCATTGTAGCCGTTCGGGCCAAGTCTGGGGTGCTTGTGTCATTGGTACCGAAGGCAGCGTCGACCTTAACCATACTGCGAGCTCAAGGCGCGAAAGCAGCGACAAGATATGAGAGACGCGATGCTGGCGAAGCGTACGGTGATGAAAGAGAAAAGGGTATGTCGCTTGCAGTTGCCGTGCAATAAGCCGTTCAGCTACCCCGGATTCGTTGCGCCAACTATGACGCTTCGGTCGATCTTCACCCCGCATGTCGATTTATCCTCCAACACGAACGCTACTAGCCCGTGTCGCATGCACACCGTTGCATCAGCATATTACTACGACTAACTGCCATCCCAATTGACGAATCGCGTGCGATTCTCGGTCGTCGTGAGATGCTGATCTTTACAGCGGGCCGACATTCCTGCACGGTTGTCGGCAACCGCCCTCGGCTATATGGGATGGGTGTGCGCTGGTGTATGTCTTCGTCGCATGACGGTCGTTGAATGATGTACATGGCGCGAGCTACCCCGGTCCATGCTTGGGAGTACGGGCAAGCTTCATATAATTGGAAGCTTGGGGCCCCGCAGTGTTGCTTGTTGTCTCTTGTCGCTGCGCCCTCACCTTGACCACATTTCAGCTTGACGCTGTCGCATTGCCTACGGCGAATCGACAATTGCATAGTTCGCTCGACGCGCGCGACAATGGCCGACGACCGAAAACCTTCGATCGAGCATATCTCGGATGACAAAATTGCGCCTACCACTCTGGAAGCAGGAAATGGGGTCGTCGATGGGCATCGCAAGCTGGTCCCACCGCCGTTGGTGGCTGCTATGAGTGCCGAGGAAAGAATTGGAGCAGAGAAGAGGATGCGACGGAAGATCGATACGAGATTGTTGCCGATGATTATCCTGATGTATATCATGAGTATGTCTTGGTAGATGGCCACGGGTAGGCAGCGCTAATAACGCCCAGATTACCTGGATAGGAACAACATCGCTGCAGTTCGACTAGCAGGTCTCCAGGATGAATTGGAACTCACCAGTGTGCAGTATCAGGTATTCAACTGTTTGAGCTACGTCCAGAAAGCAAGTCGCTGACTACTATAGACCACCGTCTCCATCCTTTTCGTCGGTTACATCCTCATGCAAATCCCGTCAAATTTGTTCCTCAACAAGACGGGAAAACCAGCAATTTACCTTCCGACGTGCATGATCATCTGGGGTGTCATATCGGGCGCTACCGCCGCATGTCAGAATTTCGCTGGATTAGTGGTGTGCCGCTTCTTCCTGGGATTCATCGAAGCCGCATACTTTCCGGGATGCTTGTTCTACCTCAGCGCATGGTATACAAGGAAGGAGCTGGGTCTGAGAACGGCGGTTCTTTACTCTGGAAGTTTGATCTCGGGCGCCTTCGGTGGGCTCATCACCGCGGGGATCACGAGTAATATGGACGGCACGCAGGGCTTGAGAGCGTGGCGCTGGGTGTTCATAATCGAGGTGAGTGTCGCACGCGTCGAACCGGGTGTCTGGAATGTTAGCTGATTCTCCAGGGTATCATTACCGTCGCGATTGCCTTCACCGCGTTCTGGATCCTACCCAACTTCCCTCGAACAACGTCCTGGCTCACAGAGGAAGAACGCCAACTCGCCGTCTACAGGCTCCAGGAAGACGTTGGCGAAGACGACTGGGTCTCGGCAGAGTCGCAAACCTTCTTCCACGGCCTAAAGCTTGCGTTACTCGATATCAAGACTTGGGTGCTTACAATCATGCTTCTAGCGAACGTATCCTCGGCCAGTGTTACCAACTTCTTCCCAACAGTGGTCAAGACGCTAGGATACCCAAACATCGAGACACTTCTGTTAACAGCGCCACCTTATGTTCTCGCAGTCATCACCACGTACCTCAACGCCTGGCATGCCGACCGCACCGGCGAACGATTCTTCCACATCGTCCTCCCTCTCTGCGTCGGCGTAGCAGCCTTCATCCTTGCCGCCGCTACGACTGCAACCGCACCTCGCTACGTCGCCATGATGCTGATGGTACCTGGTGTATACACTGGATATGTCGTAGCTTTGGCCTGGATCTCCAACTCTTTGCCTCGTCCGCCAGCGAAGAGGGCGGCTGCACTGGCTTTCATCAACGCGATCAGTAATACGAGCTCGATTTATGCAAGCTACATGTATCCTCAGCCAAAGAGTGGTCCGGCGGATTTGACGGTTCCCCTGAGTGTGGATTGCGCAACTGCAGCACTGGCCATTATCATGGCGGTCATTATGCGCATTATACTGGGGCGGCTGAACAAGAAACTTGCTCGTGGAGAACACGTTGAAGGCGCAATCAACGCTGTCCCTGGGGTTGGTGCCGAGAGAGGTTTCAGATTCTTGATCTAGAGACTTGGAAACTGGAGATTGTAGGGTATTGAGTTGGATATAGAGACGAATAGCAGGATTGTACATCGATTGGTCCCCCTGTTTTACGCCTTTGCCACCCCCTTCTTTCGTCACCTTACTGGATGACGACGCGTACAGGTGCTGAGACAACAGTTCCCCTCTTCAAATTGCTTTTCCTCAGTGTCTCAATCAAGACTATTCGTGATACATGTGTGAAGGCTGGTGAGTGGCTGGATGCCGACTTGGCGAGGTACTGGAAGGTTCCATATCGTCATCGGCCCGAACAAGGCTTAGCGTCTATCGCGAGCTTTGGCCACCCAGACAGCGCGTCGCGCGACGACTCACCACGTTTTATCGCAGCCCATCCCAGCAGCACATCATCCGTCGAGGATTCAGCAGCACATTCGTACGACACATCACTATCGGCCCGCTTTACCAGAGTTGCCAATACACCTTTCACTGCCGGGGACCATAGAGTGAACGCCTTGCGATAGCTAGCGGCACACTCTGTTAGCGCTCTGTGCACACACGATGCACCTCCACGCGACCACAGGAACAGCGCCGATTATTCAACGCAGACCTTGATCACTTTCGCGTCGGGAATCGCACAACATCAATCACTTCGATACTGTGTAACTTTTGAAGGACCAATCAATACCACCACTCAAGGCAACCACGCGTTGTCAGCTGACGCCACCCGCATATCTTCTGCAAACTTCAAAGTCCAACTTGGAGATCAACCTCATTATGGATTTTTCAAACAGTGCCTTTAGGGCCATGCCGAACTCTAAAGTCTCCGACGACACCATGTCTCACGCAAATCTTGTAATGGCATGTCGATGGGGCTGGACGAGCACCCCGGATGAAGGAGCGAACAACCCCTTCGCCTCTTCATCTACCTCACAACAAATGCCCGCCTCTACGTTCAATAACATCCGGACCAAGCGTTTTGCGCCGTGCCAAGGTCGTCTCTATCACCAGCTACTCTGCTCTCACCGTATCCGGACGGACCTTGTCGAGGACTGTGGCGAAAACTGCATCGACCCGTATGGCGACACGGTTGACGCTGCCTTCATTTGCAATGAGTGCATTCAAGCCGAAGCAGCAAAGATATGGGAGCAACGGGAAGCGGCGCATAACGCGACCTACCCTCCTATGGGACAGATGAGTAAAGAGCAGTACGAGCAGTGGTATGCCGAGCACCGACAGCTCGAAGCGGAGTTCTCGCGCGACCAGCGAGTGTACGAGTTGGACATCAAGGCTAAGACGCGACCGAGCAACATTTGCTCTGCGCTGGAAGCTAGCAAAGAGGAGATGGACTTTGCGACCGAGCTTGACACGTTATCTCTTTCTTTGATGGCGTCAAATAACTCAAACGCCGAGCAAGCGCCATACCAGCCGCAAGGACGTACCCGAACGAGCTTGGCGACAGATCCTGATGAGCAGCTCCATTGGAACTTGAACACGCTTGCTTTGGATCGCGGCGCATGTGGTATTGAGTACTCGCAGCCGAGTAGTGGAGTGTCTCCAACACGGCAACTGGACCCGGAGGAGTTGTGGAGGAAGCCACGGAATTGAGAACTTGCAAAGCAGTGTTGTTGGCGTATAACTTGTCGTGTTGATTAGCGATTGCATAACTTTGGCGTATGGAAAACTCTGCGCATGTGGAGATGTTTGTGTAGGACTTTCGTGTAAGCAATAAATGTCTTGTCTAGCAACTATGCTATCTAAATGGCTCTGAAGTCTATCTGTACCGCGGTTTTCAGTGGTCTGCATGAAGCTGCGCAGCGACGCGAAGATTGTGGATCGACGTGGGGCATAGTGATGTGTCAAAGCATTAGCACGACGCACACTGCCCCTCATGCGAAGAAAGCACACATCCTATGGGAGGACTGCTTGGCTGTCCCTTGATAGGGCGTTCTAGATCAAAAAGATCGGCTACGAGACTGCTGTAGCTCTTATCAAACCCGGAGTTATAGTGGATGTGTGTTTAAATTTCTCCATCGAAATACATTCGGAGCCTTGGCGCAATGGTAGCGCGTTGGTTTTCGGTCAGAAAGCATAAACACCAAAGGTTGTGGGTTCGATCCCCATGGGCTTCGTCTCTTTTTGATCGTTCTATAAAGTACTGCGTTATGGGAGTATACGCACGAAGCCTAGGATGAGATAACAAAAGATTGATCGACCCCACCCAGTGATCCCCACAACCAGCAGTAAGAGTGTGAGTGCAACCTGGCCATGTACCTCGCTGCCCCCGCGCCGCGGCTGAATAGCTTCGATTTTTTTTGATTTTTTTTTGCATCCCTTTTGTGCCTTAGAAGAGCAAGGCCGCTAGACATTGACGATGCTGGCCTGACGGACTCGTTGCAGCATTACCCCGCAATCGGCCCTCTAAGGGCAGATCAACTGCGGAGACAGCCTCATTGTTGCTGGGTAAAATCTTCATGATGTCCTACACTACTCTGGCTATCTCTATTCCAAGAGTTCCTCTACCACTTCTCCAACATAGGCCTTACATCAACCTCATTGGCCCAACCCCTTCGTCCTTGAGTATGTAGCCCCCAGTAAACCTCCGCAATATCCTCACTTCCGATACTCGCCTCCTCCGGCTTCCCTTCTATATATTTCTTCGTAAACTCGATGTCTATCACGCCGTCAATGACTGCGTGCGCGACGTGCACACCTTGCGGACCGAACTCCTTGGCGAGGCTCGTGGATAAAGCGCGTAAGGCGAACTTTCCAGTGGAGAAAGATGACATTTGGGCGTTGGATTTGACGCTGGCTGTCGCACCCGTGAAGATAAGGGTTGGTGGGTAGGTGCCGGCAGGAGGGTTGGACTGTACGTGGGTGAGGAGCAGGGGAATGGCGTGTTGGGAGATGTGGAATGCTCCTTTTCTACACGATTGAGATTTGTTAGTACTGTATACATGTCGTCGTTGGAACGACATAAACTCCGTCCAGGACAACGTACACGCTAACATCCCACCCCATCCCAAATTCCTCCGTCGTCAATTCCAGAAATGGCTTCCTAGACGGCCTTGCGCTTGCGTTGAAGATCATCGCTGCGACAGGCGCCCCGTTGTGGACTTCCCTGATCTTCGCGAACGCATTCTTCACGCTTTCTTCGCTGCTGACATCTGTGGAAATACCTATGGCCTCACCACCCGACTTATTTATTTCTTCGGCGAGGGCATCAAAGTTGGAGGGATTGCGAGCAAGAAGGACGACAGGGTAGGACTGAGCGAAGCGGCGCGCGAGGGATGCGCCGGTGCCTGAGCCGACACCCGCGATAATGGCGATGGGTTTGTTGGTCATGGCTGTTGCGCTTTCGATGTCTGTATCGTGAGACTGGGATAGCAGCTGTAGGTAAGATGGGTCGTCTCGTTTCTGTTTGTAATAAGAAAATATAGATTTGTGTTCCATGTGAGCAAGGACAGCTGAGGTTATGGAAGGTACGTTGGATAGCTACGCAGCTTCAACGCTTCGTAAGCATCACGATGTGGAAGAAGTTCGAAGTGAATTCGATCAGTAATCTGGGGTACTTTATACCTAGGCATTCTATAGCATCTTGTTGGTAAGCGCTAGCTTCAATCCTGTGTACCGTGTTACTCAGCAGAATCCCATCTAGGCAATAGGTCATTCAGTGGAGTAAAGCGTAAAGCGTAAAGCGTAAAGCGTAAAGCGTAAAGCGTAAAGCGTGAGGTCCGGAGGAAGTTCAGACCGTTTACGGCCGTAATCTGTTCCCATTCAATCTCCCGAGGTCATGTTAGTCGTATCAGTCGTCGCGCTGTGAGAGGTGTTCAATGGTGTCTACGTCAGTCCCGACCCCTCCCTGACGATCATCGCCTAGCTGCATGCTAGCGATGGCAGTAGTAGAGATCTAGATACTGGACTTTCTCATGTGTTAGTAGACAGCGGTGTTTGCTGGGCGACTAGACTTGCGATCCGTCTGGTGCATGTTGTAAGTCAAAGCGATGTAGGTCTACCCAGGTTTCCGTCCGCACAGCAATGTGGCCTGTGCGTACCTGCCCATGGAGGTATGCGTCCACGCGTCTGCACGCCCCAAACATCAAACACCGCATCTTCGCGCGCTCCCCGGAACTCGAGGCAAAGAACGCGGAATTTTTGTATATCGCGTACTGTCGGCACCAGCGCATTGAGAAGACTGCACCGTTGTTGCCACCGTGCCGCACGAGGTCCTATCCTCGCAGGGACGCGTCGGTCGAAATGACGGATCGACGGATGTCGCAATAGTCGTAAACTCTCGACGACTGCAGTCCCCGCTTCTCGCATTGGAATTCGGGGTCACTCGACATGTGCATTCGGACGCGATCACTAGTCAACATGTACCCATCAGAACGGTCCAAACCTTCCCTCTCCTGGTGAGTATATAAATTGTCGCTTTCCCACAGCACCAAGATACCATACACAACTTTTCCAATATCTACCAATGGCTTCTTTTGTATACAACAGCGCTTTTCAGTGCTGCGTACCCAATCCTCTGACCCCTCGAGGAGAAGGAGAGATACCTACCCCAGAAGAAGAAGCATTAGCTTGCAAGATCAACCGCGCTCTGGCGTCTGGACCCATATCCATCACCAAGAATGCCACCATCGCCGATTGGAGCCACTGGGGCCCCGACCGAAAACTAGTCATTCTACGAGAAGGGACGAACCATTGGACAGCCTTCCCCGGAAACGAGAACACGGTTGGCAACGTTCCCATGTGCGCTGACCCCATGGGTCTCCAATGGATCCAAGATGCCTATGCCGCTAAGCCAGCACCCACAAACACTGCGCCAGGTCTCATATACATGTTGTGCGGAGCAAATCAGCACACTACCACGAATCCGGCAGACAGAACGAGCCCGGCTATTCCGATCGGGCCGCACTACATGATCCTGTGGCCTTTTGAAGCGGAACGAGATGGGTTTCCGGATACGATTCGCGACCAGGGTGCCTGGGTCATGTTCGACAAAACGCCGTACGCTCATCTGCACGTTTGTGGTACGCCCTGGGCGGGGAAGGAGTACGACAGGGAGAAGACGAAGGCGAACTGGGATTTACGTTACGAGGATAGGACTTGATGATGATTTTGTCGCGTCAAGATTATAACGAAAGAGCGATAAGAGCTGGTCACCGACGAAGCTAGACGTTTTTGATGAGATCGATATTGATGGAGGCGATGTATGCCGTGACGGAGTTGTTATATACTTTATACCAAAGAATACCTGAAACGAAGATGGCGCGGTCTGAAAGCTCAGGCATCAGATCTATATCACAGTCAAGGCAGCGCCACGTCCATCTCATGCCTGATCAACATACTATGCGCACTCATCCACAACTTTGCATTCCCTCAACCCTTTAGCTTCAATCTTCCTCTTGTAGCTGATGACCGCAGCCTTCTCAAACTTTACCTTTCCCAGGCCCACTTCGCACCAGAGGGAGTGCTCTTGGTTTTCAAAATCGTCAAGTGCGTTATAAACTCCGTCGGTACGTTCTATAGTACGGTAGAGGTTTTCAGGATATGGACCTTTCGTATTTCCGGCTTTGCAGTCATCCATGAATTGGCGGTAGTTGCGGTGAAGTTCAGATGTATAGCATGAAGGACAGAGAAAGTTTGGCTCGGCGTGGGTGCATATGTTGACGTCTCTGCAGTTTGGTGCGCATTTTGATGACTCTTTCAGGTGGAAAAAGGAAGCTTGGACGGTGTGGCCACACATCAGGATGTGGACTGGTAAGCCTTGACAAGGCTCAACGCGCTCTGCGATAAAGTTAGGCGCCATGGTGTTGTTGATGCTCGGCTGGGAAATCTGTGTTCGGTACAGGAAGGGCTTTCTGGTCTGTTGATCGTGAACCCGCACGCGCGACTTAAATCTACCCATTCAACTGCACTGTGAATGTAGCGTAAAGGATTTCTGATACATATCGTCAGGTGACATTGTTACTTTGTTGTACAAAGCGCTGAAGGTCTCATTGACCGACGACAATCTTTCTACATTCGCATGGCAGATGCTGTATCGTAATCTGAATGCCATTGAGACATCATCGTCGGAGGTTTGTCAAAGAGCGAAGGAGGACGCGAAGCGAGCGTGATGGAGTGGCCGCTGCATGGACGCGATTTGACGGGAAAGCTCTTCGGGAAATGAGAGCCTTGACGATCGTGCTTCTTTGTACGCGATAACTAGCAGCGCATGGTCTGTGATGGATATTAGTAGTCCCTCCACTTGCGATGATGGAATCAAAGGATGATGATGGTCGTGCACAGAATCTTGGTAGACGACGGCCAAGGGCCGTGATGCACGTGCGGCATGCACAGACTAAACCTATCTCGACTTAGTGGCAGATGGACTTAAGGCTGTCAGCTGGCTGCAGTGAGCCAAGACGTCACTTTCACAGAAACAATATCGAACGCGCAACAGCAAGCACCACCTTCCATCGTGGCTGAGCATCGTACGGTAATTGCATCGGTCTTGTCATCTTGTGCTTCCTGCCTCTACTGATGTACTAGTCACCTTGATTACTATCTCTGCTTGCCATCGACCTGGCGCCAACCAAGGAATTAACGACACTAGTATAGGAGTCCTGAGTCCTTTCTCATTATCAACCTTGGTGCGCGGACGTGCTGGCCGACATATCTCGGCCATCGTCATGTCAGCTCTTTGCATGCCAAGCTCAGCGGCGAGAGAAGGGCGGAGGAAAACGTCCACTACGCCCTGGTCTCAACACAATATCCATGAGATAGGGTGACGCAAGACATGGCAGTGCAAATTACTGGAGCTCATGTTAATGAGATATAAGAACGGTGTGTTGCGACCGTGAAGAGCATCACACATAGCTTTCGCATCCACGCCAATCGACTCAGCATACATTCTACCATCTCAACGTTCAGAAGATGCCGTTGTCCGCCGTCACATCTGTAGCCTTCGTGGCCCTTCTTCAGATGCTTCCTGCTACGGCACAAAATATGTCATATGGAGCCAACAACTTCTACCGCAGCGACAACGTCACAATGTGGCCGATCACCTTCCCCAGTCTCTACCAGATGACCGTCGCTGGCAACCTCTTTCTACCCGACAACCTCGATCGCACCATCAATGCTT